AAATAGTTTAAGTTCTACTGTTTAAGTTCTAAATCATCTTACTGTTTTCGTGCTTGAAGGTAGAAGTAGACATAAAATCGTACATTTAGTGTGATTTCAATATTGCGTTGTTAAATGGTAATCAAGAAAGAAATTGGTATTTTTCTGCAGCAAACCATTTCGGTAGATTATTTTGACAAGGTACAATTTTATTTACAAGTGACCACGACACTAATGGGAATGGAACCTCCACTCGTTGTGTACTTAGCCAAACATTGAAGTGATTCATTGCACTGAGTTAACAAGTCATCTTGTCTAAATATTTACGTGCTTGACTTTGAAAAAAATTGAAATATTTCATTTGATTTACTCTAGTGCTACATGCATATCAATACTTAAGGGGAGATGCCCACTTTTTAGATTTAATGCATTTTATATGGGTAAACATCGTGTTGCTTAGGTACCATTTAAGAAAGAACCCTTTTAGCTATGCATATCAAATTTTAACTACTTATTTGTATTGACATTTAAGACAAACTGTACTAATTTAAATATGCTCTACCAAAAAAATCATATTTTATCAAAATTTTTAAAATATAAAATTCTTTTCACTATTTTACAAATATTAATTAATTTTATTGTTAATGTTTTTTTAAACATAGAAGCAAACTTTTAGTACACTTTGTGGGCCATGATGTCCTAAGTAACAGAAAAAAATTTGAAGTCAGTGGTACTTATAGTAGTCTGGAAAATGGTACCTAAACATTAAAAAACACAGTTTCGGAAAAACTCATTAAAAGTCAAGCCTAGGCCTACCCTATGCCACATTATTCCTCATCACAAACAGCACTATTATTATATACACATATGTTATGAAGAAAGAAAAACAAACAGAAAAAGATTTTTGTTGACTGTTTAACCTAGCAACAACATTTATTCAGTGCAACCATTTAACAAAATTAAATTTCTAACATAAATTTAATTGACGCTAATTCAGCCCATTGTGACTAAAACCGAGTGTGTAGTACTATTTATATTATTTTTTTATGATTGTTAGACTGTAGTAAATATATTAAAATTATATATTTTCTGAATCAGGAAAAGATGAAGAATTTTTCAATGCAATAAACAAAAAATTAATTTTTTGACCGAAAAACTGGGCATCTCCCCTTAAGCAAAAATATGTTGACAAATCGTACAATATTCCACATGGATTATTCCATAACCTCATCCAACACCAAGAAAGGTAAACTGGAAGTATAAATTAATCAGCTGTTTTGTAGGCTAGAGCCTAGTCAAAGCTATTAAATCTCACGTATCCTCGTGCGTAGATAACCCTGCTTGGACAAGCGTCTAGTGCTTAACCTAGTAATGGCTGCAGACGCCCGATTGTGTAGAATAATCACCTTCCAAGCAGTATTTATTTAATGGTCGTAATTTATTACGTTAGTGTCAAATCGCAAACAGGTTTGCACACTTGGGCTGTGATTAAAGGGAGATTAGATGCGAGATGTTAAGATAAATTGGCAGCAATGGTTGTAGAGTTGAATGTTTTAATTGTGGAGTTTGACTGGACTAGAGTGTTATTATTATCTTCTTGATTATAAGTGGAGAAGTTTAAGTCTCAATAAAGTTGTCTCAAATTTGAATTAATTGCCTGTATGATGGGATGACTACAAGTGCAAATATTTAGTCATGTTGAAAGAAATATTTTATATTTTTATATTGTTTCTATATATTATATTTTTGTATAGGTCCTATTATTAGGTTTATTGTACATGACAAGATAACAAAGCCTAAACATTTACGTTTAAACACGTATCTATTGTATAGTTTATGCAAGATAACAATGTAAATGTATTAAAATTAGAAAATGTTTTGTTGCGTTTTTTTAAATCTTTTGGGCGTTACGAATTTTTAAAGGAACAGCCCAAACCCTGAACCTATTATTAAATGATGCCATCTTCTGTTACATAGCAACTAATACCCCAATCCCAAATTACGATAATCTTATTATTTACTTTGTTCGGAAAGAAATGTGTGCAAAGAGAGATTGCGAGAATATATCAAATTAACAATCCACAAAAACAAAATTAATTATCATGATGTATATTTTTGAATTAACATATTATAATAACAGTATACCAAAGTAATTAACTAAAATTAATACGCCGCTGCTTAGGCATGCTCTTATGCCGACGAAACATCATATTCTTGCTAACCCAAAGTAATAAACAACACTTGCTGTACTAGATATTAATTTGGTTAATATTTTAAAACTATTTTTTTATCCCAACGATTCTCATCTCACATTTTAATCTCCAAACATTAAACCGCAATAAAAGTTAACCTCTTTTCAATTCATTTAGACACGTTAATCTTTCAAAGTCAACATCATTCCACACAGCACATAATTTAAAATATTGAAAATGGGCTTTTACGAAGTTTCACTCAACTTGGAGAAACTAGTCCAGAGAAAAACTAGAGGAGCCATACGGAGGCCATTGACTCGGTTGGAACTTGCTGTACATGATTGTGTGTGTGTGTGTGTGTGTGTGTGTGTGTGTGTGTCGCGATATAATATCGAACTCGTTTTGCAACATAAATCAAGAAGTCCTTACCCATAACCAAGCGTTGGTAGTATGCAGTCGCCTCAAACCACTATCTGAGTCTTACGGAGATCTTACTTAACTTGTCGTATAAAGTGTAGCAAAATAAATAAAAGTGCAATATTAAGTAAACGAAAAAATATATTTTGCTTAGAATATCTTAAAATCGGCCTTAAGCGATTCAAGGATTATTAAACTACAAGTTTTGTTATTCGAATCTAAGTTGTCGGTGTATTCGCAAAGGTAAAGTATCGTATAATAACGAAGTACTAGACTGTTTAATGCGTTTGTATTATTCCTAAGCAAAAAGGTGTTTTCAATATCCGCTCTCTTAAAGTTTACACAAATGCCTTTAAAGAGTTATCAAGTATTACAGCTACTATTCAAGTCACCAACATGAAGTGTGTTTTATTGTGAAATTTAGAGTATAGAACAAACATACATGTTAACATTCATACGCACACATAAAACAATTGTTAATAAACTATCTGTTTGGTTGGCACTGTCAAATTGACGAATGATTACCATATACATTATTGAGCGTTATAAACGTCAATGAATTAATGTTTGTAAAAAGAAACTTCGTATAAGAAAAGTACCTTATTAAAAAATATTAAAATATAAACTATTAAAGACATAAATTAATATTTCCTTCTAAAATAATATTACCTATAATCAAAATTGATGACTTAAGTCAAAAACCATTACAAAAGACTGATATTGTCTAAAAATTAAACTCTTGTATTAAATTTCACTTTACGCTCCAGGCATCTTTTAAGAAACCACCCAAATCCCGCCAATCTTTTTCATTAAAAAAAATAAAGTATTCCGATTCACTCAAACAATTGTATCTTAACAAATATGATTAGAAATTGCTATTATTTATGAAGATCAATAATTAGAAGCGTTTTACTAAGTTAATTTTTTTGATTCAGTTACTCGAATAATGTAGTTACTGTATTTGGGTAAATAAAAAAGTACGTTATTTGTATATATTTTGAACGTGTATGTTGTCGCATAATATAAAATTAAAATTTAATACTTTAGCTGTTAATAAGACAATTTAGCAGCCATCGTAATAATTTAATGTGTACAAATAATAACATCGTAACTAGCCTACGTAAGTACACCTATAGAGAATTACGCATTTTATTAATGTGTTTAGAAGTTTGACACTTATGACATTACTATGAGTAAAAGTAATTTTAGTTAAACTATAGATTTGGATTTCTTCACTATTTAAAAACTGTAACTTAAAATCACTATAAATCTCGAACTTATCGATGTATTTCTTTGAAATTAACACCGTTGCGTGAAAACTCTAGAGAATTATTTCATTTTATCAAATAAATCAACATTGAAAACTTTAATACGTGGAGTACTTTTAAAAAAAGTTATCGTGGAGAAATTTTGTTAAGAAATATTGGAAACAGGTTACATCACTACTATTTTCGGTTTATTAAGCTTATTTCAAGTTCAAGATTAAGTTTTTATATTCAATATTTAACTCGTGGCTATTAATGATCTCGATATTTATCACAAAAAGCCTCACTTTAATTTTAACTATTCTATGTTATATCATATATCGTTTCTTCCTATTTATATTTAATTATTTGAATCAACATAAATTTTCACAGATAGAAAGTAAAAGTTCTCTATTTAGCGAACTATAATGATTCTGTTGGAAATGTACTCAGAAAAATACATGAATTTTGTGTTAGATGATTTCAAAATCCGTTATATTTAGGGAAGTGAATTTGTATGTTTCCCTGTAAAATCCTCAAACATTAGTTAACAGTATTATGAATTTAACCCTAGGTATATTGGTAGTGTTTACGTTGTGAATTTGGGTTAAAACTAATAAGTACAATATCTAAAAAATATTGTTTAATGATATTTCACAACGTTCTATGAATATACCTATTTTTTTACTGTTGAGGACTTTACTATATCAAGGATAATAAAGCATATGATTTAATCATATACACATATAAAAGGGACTTTTGGCAAAAAAAAAACACACAAAATTGTTGGTAATAAAGCTTTAGTAATTTAAAAAAAATATTATTTCACTCGTAAAAAACGTTGAGTTTATGGAACGTTACAAAAGTTTAAATGGAAAATACCGGTATAATGTAAGTAATTGTTATGATTATTAATTTATTACTAACGGGGATGAAAAAACCGTTGATGAATTATTATTGATATTATGTACTTTTAAATTGCCTCACATCCGTTTGTATTGTAAAAATTCATATTGTGTTTATTAAGAGTGAACTTAAATGGTACTGCCTTAAAATAAAAATTTTATTAATTATTTATTAGAAAAATTTTAAATAACTAAAATAAACCACTGTGTAGAGTAATTTAAAAAATAAAAGATATTACAAATATGACAGTTGGGGTACGCACCTGTATGGTGGGGGTATCACAACACGCAGGCGTATTGCTGAGACGCTATCTGTCGCGCAGTCGCACTGATACTGAGGTTCCTAGGTACCTGCTACTCACACCACCAGCACCATCACTGGTCACTGACCCAAGCAGCGTCTGCTGGCGGAACTGGGTTAGGGGTGTCAGATAAGCAGGAGTAGAGTAAACAGGAGAGTTATGTAAGTTATATTAGTTATGGTTCGTTTAGTTAATTTAATTCAATAATTCCAATCAGTTGTGGAAAATAAATCCGGCACGAAGGACCAGGATTTCCACGATGTAAATTTGTTGATGAATTGTTTAACGATGGTTTTTTGTGTTCTGTGACAACATTTTACAAGTCAATACAAATATGCAAATGCAAAGAATCAGCTTAGACAACTCTCACAAGCTACAGAATAAACCTAACTAACGTTTCAAATGAATTTCAAATAATTAAGTAATCGTGTTGTTTTGTTTTGCTGTTATTTACTATGAATTCAATTCAATTCAATTCAAAACATCTTTATTCATTAGTATATATTGTATATACAAGAATGGTGTCGAATTCATCGTTACATACAATATAAACACAAATAAAAGACAAATACAATACACAAGAACAAAACAACAAAACAATACAGTCATCTCTCAAGTAGGTATAAAACAAAAGTATACTTCAGTGAAAACAAAAAACAAAAATATAGTTCAGTGAAACAGCAATAGGCCTAAAACATTTCAAGTCAATGCTGTTATTGCTTAGCCCAGAAATATTTGAATTTATAGAGAGCATTTTGTGTCAAATGTAATTTTAGAGCGTTTTTAAATCTGTTGTCATCTGTTTCATTTTTGATTTTTATTGGTAATTGATTAAAAAATTGTATTCCAATGTATGATGGTTTTTGTTTAAATATTTCTTTTTTATGCTTATTAATTTTGAAATTATATCGGTTTCTTGTGTTGTAATTATGATTATCGACGTTTCTAGTAAATGTTGAAATATTACGTTTAACATGAAGAACAGTTTTGTAAATATAAAGGCTATAAACTGTCAGGTCCCAATCCAATAAAATGTTGTTTACAGTGTGCATCAAAATCCAATTTAAGCATTGATCTTATTGCATCTTTTTGAAGATGTAAAATTTTTTTTAGGTTAAAATTTGATGTTGCTCCATATACTTCAAGACCATGCCCAATATGGGTATGGACCATTGAAAAAAACATTGATTGCAATGTTTTGATGTCACAAAAAGAGGACAATCTCTTCAGAGCAAAGACTCCTGAACTAACTTTTGAACAGACCTCATTTACATGATCTGACAAAGACAGTTTTCTATCCAGTAAAATACCAAGGAACTTTGACTTTTCAGCAAGGTCAACAGTATTAAGGCAGGCTGTTGGTTCTGTGTCATTCCTTGAATTACCATTTTTACAAGAGAATTTAATTATTGTTGTTTTATTTTTATTAGTTAAAAGGTTCAAGTTACTTAGTCTTTCGTTAGCTTTGTTTGCTGCTAGGGATAATTGATCAAAAACATTACTTATATTGCTACTAGCTATCGTTAGATTAATATCATCTGTAAAAATACAAAATTTATTATTTAATGTAAGATTTGAAAGACATTCTGGTAACTTTACTAAATACACAAGGAATAGGAATGGTCCCAGGACTGATCCCTGGGGAACGGAATATTTAATTAATCTAGTTTTTGACTTTATTTTAAATAATTTATTGCCATTGAGGTGTTTAGTTTCCGCATATTGCCTTCGACCTATTAGGTATGATTTTAATAAAGCTAAATATTTGCCAATTATTCCATTAGAAGTTAGTTTTTCCAGTAAAATAGAATGGGATACACTGTCCAACGATGTAAAAACTACTGAGTTGTTTATATCGATGACACTGTCAAACGCTTTAGTCAGATCTAGAAATGCAGAAACAGTATGGTCACCTTTGTCTAATTTATCCACAATATGTTCAACAAAAGCTATGACTGCAGTAATAGTTGTTCAATATAATCAGTTAGTTGCATCAACATACACTTTTCAAAAAACTTTGATAATGATGGTAGGATTGAAATAGGTCTGTAGTTGGCAGGATCCTTCTTGTCACCCTTTTTAAATATTGGAATAATTTTTGATACTTTTAATTCTGTGGGAAATACTCCCACCTTAATTTACAGGTCAACCAATCCACAAAGCAAAAAGTATGTTTTGGGCGATTTAAATTCTTTCTAATCTGTATATTGAAGACATTATCCATTAAACACTATTCAACTATTAAAAACTATTAAAAATTTCTTTCAACACTCTATTCACAGATAACCCTGAGACATTCTTTTGAAATTAAAAACAATAACCTTACGAATTTATTTGTTAAATAAACCGATCACTCCATTCATATACTATATGTATTGATGGCTTAAATCTTCATAGAAGATCGCTTAAAATTAAAAGTGTCTATGGTTTACATAAGTAGATCAATCGAAAGGACTTTGAATATAACAATATCAAAAGAATACTTTTGCTTTACTTAAATCTCGGATTCAATCAAGTGAACTTTACAGACCCCGCAGGCTCCAGAGTCTATTGTAATAGATCTGTGCAATTCTTAAAACTCCTTGAGCTGCGATCGTGAAATTAATTGTTCAAGGTAACATGACTGTGGTATGGCTTTATTGTAAAAAAAATATTTTTTTTACTATTTTTACAGTAACAAAATATTGTTCACCGACTGTTAAAGCGTTCTCTTTTTTTATAAGTAACATAGTACGATTTCAATTGGTCCTCCTTCCTAAGGGTTTTGCAATATTTAGCTAGGTTATATAAATAGGATTTATTGCGTTATATTAGGGTAAGTAGCCTACTGAGAATGTTTGCTATGATTGAAACATTATTCCTTAAATTAATAATGTATTTCCATTATTTAATATTAAAAAAATGATTAAGTTGTGTTTAGTTACTAAATAATTGACGAATTCAAACAGTGCAAACTCAACACCACTGATAATTTATTTGATGATTTTATGCAAATTATTAATATTGTAACAGTCATTAAACATGTCCATCTAGTAAACAACAATTACGAAATAGTTTCAATTTTGAAATTGGTCCTTCGTGACGGATATAGATTTTCTTCAAAAACTTTGAATCTCTGACTTTAAACAAAATGATTGTATATTGCTGCAAAAAGACCATTCAGACAGGGTTAATACATATGGCATATCGTTTACGTAGAATACAAAATCTCTGATAACTCATAAAGTCGAGACGCCACGTCAGGTGCCGAGGTAGAGGTCGAGGTCACCGGAAGGTCTCAGTCAGCTGATCGCCTCAAGGTCTCACTCTCACTGCGACTTCCTTGTTTATCATCGTGGGAGTAACTGAGGACTTTCCTTTTCACTTTTCACCTCTCCTTCCATAATTTTCATGTAATTGCATCCGAGGTGTGCAAACACCTTTCATTTCAATTTCCAATGTTTTGATGATTTCCTAATCCATGTTTGTTTCTTCCTGCTGTATTGCTTCGCAGTGTTGGGAAAGTGGTGATAATGCTTAAATGGTTTTCATTTAATCTAGGACTAGATAACTTTAGTTTACAATTAACTTCAATTGGCAAAAGCTAGGATTTCAAAGTTACTGGTTTAAATAACTCGTAACCAATGATAATTTTCTTTCTATAAACACTTAAACGATTTTAAAGATACACTCGTTAAAACAGTCGTTGGCATTTTAGTACAATGGTGTTTTACCCATGAAACATATTTAAGTCCTGGTTAGGCCTCCTCACAATAATTATCATTTGATTACTCAATAAAAAACCCCATTGCACATGCATAAGACTCATTATAAAATAGTGTAATAGATTCGTTTCGAGGATGCTCTTTCTTTGCCTAACAGAATTTCTTTATTTTTTCATTGAAGGTTAAGTATTAAATGAAATATTTCTGTTATTTTTTACTTTGAATAACATTTTGTTATTACATTTATTTTATAGATGCTATTTTGAAGTATATAATGGACCAGTATTTCCAAATCACATAAATAAATATGTTTTTAGCGAATTTCCCTATAGGGAAGTAGCTATTACCGTAGGTCTCATGGTAAGACCTACGCCCGGGACCGATTTACTTTTTCATTTTGATGTCCCCAGAGGCCAAAAACACCATTCGTTCAAATTTTTATATATCTATATATACAGGGTGTCCCGGAACTCTCTACCAATATTTTAGGGAATTGATCCTGGGTAAGAAACGTACCTAAATATCATATTTAAATTGTCCGGAAGTCCTTAGTTACTCACACAGCCACCATTTTGTTTTTTTCAGTTATTAATTTTTTTCTAAAGAACGGTTAAACATACGAAATGGAAACTTTGCAAGAACATTTATGACAACTAGACAAAGCTACAAAAAAATTATGAAGATTTTTCAAATTCATAAAACAAAATGGCGGCCATTTAAAATGTTCATTCTTAAATAACTAAAAAACCATTGATTTAAAAAAAATTAAATGGCCGCCATTGTGTTTTATGCATTTGAAAAATCGTGATAATTTTTTGGTAGCTTTGTCTAGTTGTCATAAATGTTTGTGCAAAGTTTCCATTTTGTAAGTTTAACCATTCTTTAGAAAAAAATTAATAACTGAAAAAAACAAAATGGCGGCTGTGTGAGTAACTAAGGACTTCTGGACAGTTTAAATATGATATTTAGTTATGTTTCTTACCCAGGAGCAATGCCCTAAAATATTGGTAGAGAGTTCCGGGACACCCTGTATATATATATTAATAAGCGAAATAACAAAAACCAGAGTACCCTGAAATTCATATTTATTTAAAAGCACGATAACTTGAGTAATTTTTGTCCGATTTTGATAAAATTTGGTTTGAAGGTGTAAGGCAGGATAAACTTGAATGAGTTCGCGAACCAGCATGATCTGACTATGGGAACGGGGGTTTATGGGGGGTTTTTATGGGGTAAAAATAGGTTTTTCCCATTTTTGACCCTAAAAACACAAAATTTCACAGTTTATTTTTAAACCATTTTGTATAGCTT